AGTTTTACCTCCTTTTGCATATTTTATAAATTACTACGATAAAATTGATATAAACTATTGTATTTAAACGTACTAACCTAATGGAGGGGCATGGAGGTATTATCAGTTCTTAGTCTGTATTCCCTTCCCAATTTGTTTTCAGTTGCTTTCGTTTTCTGTTAACGTAGCTACAGCGTTACTGTTGGTACGGTACAGGACAAAGGAATTTTTTGTAAAAAATATTAATTCAAAACTCGTTTGATTTTCTTGTAAAATTACGTGCGCACAAGTGTTGTTTTCCGGAATCTTTAAAAAAACAATAATTAAGTAACTTACTAATCGAGGTAAGTCCATCTAGACGAATAATTATTATATAGATAAAACGTTAAACTGAAGTAACGTATTTTATTAAAGCTTAATAGTTACTTTTTGTATTGTTGATAATGTTATGTTTTATTTCTCGGATAACAACATAAAGAATAGACAAAAAGTGTTTAGAATACAATTGTTAAAATCTTATATAAGTTGTATATTATTCCGTTTCAGATGTTATAAAGTGAAAGTGATTAAAATTTCCAATTCTTTCCAAAAGCAATTCACCATTAGCTAGTTAGGTACTTACAAAAATCGTGTTCGAATGAATGATTGCTATTTTTTACTTGGACAAAATTAAGCGTATTACGTAAATCGTTGTATGTATATAATCAAATAACTTGAAACAATATAAACTGTACATTTTTTAAGTATTAGGCACTTTACTGTACTGCACTTTTATTGCACTTTGTTTGAAATAATTGAAATTCAGATAAAAAATCATTCTAGAAATAGCAAAAAGAAAATTCATTTATATGTTTGGAAGCGGCCAAAAAATTTTAAAAAGATGTTTCTAGTAATATTAAGTAACTTTGTTTTTCATTAAAATGATTGTTAATAGGTCTGTACTTCTGTTTGTTTTGAAATAAGTAGTAATGATGAATATAGTTGTTTTTTTTTTTAATTTTGCAATTTTATCGACGAATATAACAAAGAAAAGTTTATACAGGCCAGCGTATAATGATAACATATCTCTGAAAGGAAAATTTAATACATACATACATAGTTATCATGTAAGGACCTTACGATTATTGGTAGTCTCCTCAAAGACAGTTGCCTAAATGTTGTGAACTTTAGGATGAATGAGGAATTCTAGCTTACATAATTTTGTGATTACCTACTAACACCTCATTTCCATTCTTCATTTCTGTAGTATTTCATACAAAAATGAACTGAATATTAATAAGTAGCTACTATTTGGTTAAGGGAAGACATGTTACCCGAGATAAAAATGTTCAGTCTCTCAGAGTCTCTGAAAGCGAGACTCGAGTCTCCGTCTCTCATCGAGTTTCTCTGGTGTCGCTGAGAGAGACTGTCAAAAAACCGTTTAGCGTCTCTGAACGAGAGACTCGAGTCGCTCATAGAGAAATCCTCATTTCGTAACCAGTCTCTGAACGAGAGACTCGAGTCCTTCAGTTTTTCAGTTTTATTCATTCATTCTCTCTGTGAGAGACTCGAATCTCTGATTAACAATTTTATCGTTCGAGTCTCTCATACAGAGACTGTGGGAGATCCATAAAAACACCTAGGCAATAACTGAAAGACTGTGAGAGATGCTCTCAGAGACGCTGAAAGACTCTGAGAGACTGGAGAAAGACTGAAAATTTTTGTCTAGGGTACTTCATATTAAAAGAAGTACCTTTTAGAAATTTATAAAATGCCTTCAGTTCTTCTTAGGATTAGACAAAATTAAATCGGGTTCTATACTTTTAAAAGCTAACTATATAAAAATAATTTTTGGGATACGTAATTGTACACTTAATCGCAATCCTCTCCATTCGATTGTAATCTTTTAGGACTAGCAATCTGTAATTACTTTTTTTATTGAGCATTGTAACAGAGTAGTTAAACTACATTCAATCGTATTCATTATGCCGTTTTAACTAAATAGTTTTGCAAGGAAAAAAGTTTCTTGATAACAACTAAAACAGAACTTGTGTAAACTGTTTTCTTCTCCATTATTAGCAGACCATTAATTAGGAACCTTCATACCTTCAATATGGCTTTTGATGAAAAAGTGGAAAATTTGTAGAGTTTCCTAACTGAAACTGTTTTTATGGATTGATACTTACACTTTGTGCTACGATTAAATTACCAAAAGTTAGTGATAGTTAAAAATGGTGTTCTTAATTAAGATTTTAATAAAATTTCACGGTGATTGGAATAAGCATTAACAGTTAAAATTACGATGTTACACTGCTCTTGTTGATTGACAGAATAAAAACTATTTTTCCCAGGATATCTTCTGTTTTCATGAATAATAATAATTTCTTTTCATATTTATTTTTGCAAACAATTGTTTACAACATAGAATAATTCTGCATTTATACATAAATAATTATATCTTGGTTTTTATGGAATGATATGTAAAGTTTTAATATTTTTAACGCTTCAACCAGTGCGGAAAATAGACAATTAAACTGTGGCTACTCATTTGGGTCATCGTCTTGGTAAAAATTGTATCACCCGCTCTTTCGCACGTTATCCCATGAAATTGGTCATTACCGTGTGTTTTATATAGAAACTTTCTAAAATTATTTTAAAGGAGACTAGTCAGATATAGACATAATTGCTTATTTTTCTGATTTTAACTTTATTTTCAAACAGAGACAATTCTTTTTTTTTATAAATCTATAAGAAACTCTTGGAAAACAGATAGCCTAATGCTTCATTTATAAATCCGAGTTTCTTAACAATTAATTGAAAAATATATGCTTTTTATATTGCAATTCGTGCGGGTATTTCATTCCGCTAGGCTTTATAGGTAATGATTAACGATATTTCTAAACCGAAAATAAGATAATTGAAGAAAGCTGCTACTATAAAAGTTGAATACATTCAATAAAATCATTCATATTGACAATTTGCATAAAAATAGCATTTTATGTTTAGATATTTGCAGTTAACGGTTTTTGAACTGTTACGACATCATACTAATTTGATTTGATAATTTTTTACTACATATTTTTTTCCTTTTCCTTCGTTTAATCTTGTTACTGTAACGACCTTGTCTATCGTTTTTATTAAATATTAACACAAGAATTAATTAATTTAATGCTTATGATTATAAAGGAGATCGGAATATTTATTTATTCGTTTATTTATTTAAAAGAGTGTTTACTCCATTATACAAGATATGCAATTTTTGCGAGGTAGCGGAAGGAATCGTTTACAATTGATTAAAAAAACATTCGAATTGTAAATCAGGTTTATATTACTGTAATTATTGGGTATGTACAGTTCAGCCAAACTATCTGTAGCCGCAACAGAGGTATGCGCAGTGATAAAAGTGGAAGGGATGTAACAACCTGCGTAAAATCAGTGCAATATGAAATGACCAATGTCGCAGGCGGCATCGAAATCAGGTTCATTTGTTCCTCTGACTGCATATAGTCCAGGAAGGTTCTGAAAAGCATATCGGGTACTCTCTACTCGCTTTCCTGCTTTTTCCTGCTTGTGCTCATCTCGCGGCTATAAATTCGTTGGTCGAGCTGTACTTAAAGAAGATATTAATAAAATATGAATAAGCATCGCAATAGAATTTTAAGTTGAGGCACGGTACATCAGTTAGTTGACCCAGTATCACAAATGTTACGATATAACGATTAATCAGTTGATAAAAATAACCATTAAAATACATATAAATTAATGACATTTAAAGATCCGATGGTTTTAATAACGGGTGGAAGATTATCTCACAAACGTATACAAATGGTGAGCGAGAGGACAAAAAGGCACATAGGTACGTAGTAAATGGGTATACTGTTAATTTGAAGAAAAACGCTTTGATTATGAAATAGGTATACCACATTTCTAGTCTCAAACAAATTTGGGATTTGTTCACAATTTATACTTTGAGGAAAATGTTAAATTGAAACACCAAATGATGAATATAGTTGTTTTTTTTTTTAATTTTGCAATTTTATCGACGAATATAACAAAGAAAAGTTTATACAGGCCAGCGTATAATGATAACATATCTCTGAAAGGAAAATTTAATACATACATACATAGTTATCATGTAAGGACCTTACGATTATTGGTAGTCTCCTCAAAGACAGTTGCCTAAATGTTGTGAACTTTAGGATGAATGAGGAATTCTAGCTTACATAATTTTGTGATTACCTACTAACACCTCATTTCCATTCTTCATTTCTGTAGTATTTCATACAAAAATGAACTGAATATTAATAAGTAGCTACTATTTGGTTAAGGGAAGACATGTTACCCGAGATAAAAATGTTCAGTCTCTCAGAGTCTCTGAAAGCGAGACTCGAGTCTCCGTCTCTCATCGAGTTTCTCTGGTGTCGCTGAGAGAGACTGTCAAAAAACCGTTTAGCGTCTCTGAACGAGAGACTCGAGTCGCTCATAGAGAAATCCTCATTTCGTAACCAGTCTCTGAACGAGAGACTCGAGTCCTTCAGTTTTTCAGTTTTATTCATTCATTCTCTCTGTGAGAGACTCGAATCTCTGATTAACAATTTTATCGTTCGAGTCTCTCATACAGAGACTGTGGGAGATCCATAAAAACACCTAGGCAATAACTGAAAGACTGTGAGAGATGCTCTCAGAGACGCTGAAAGACTCTGAGAGACTGGAGAAAGACTGAAAATTTTTGTCTAGGGTACTTCATATTAAAAGAAGTACCTTTTAGAAATTTATAAAATGCCTTCAGTTCTTCTTAGGATTAGACAAAATTAAATCGGGTTCTATACTTTTAAAAGCTAACTATATAAAAATAATTTTTGGGATACGTAATTGTACACTTAATCGCAATCCTCTCCATTCGATTGTAATCTTTTAGGACTAGCAATCTGTAATTACTTTTTTTATTGAGCATTGTAACAGAGTAGTTAAACTACATTCAATCGTATTCATTATGCCGTTTTAACTAAATAGTTTTGCAAGGAAAAAAGTTTCTTGATAACAACTAAAACAGAACTTGTGTAAACTGTTTTCTTCTCCATTATTAGCAGACCATTAATTAGGAACCTTCATACCTTCAATATGGCTTTTGATGAAAAAGTGGAAAATTTGTAGAGTTTCCTAACTGAAACTGTTTTTATGGATTGATACTTACACTTTGTGCTACGATTAAATTACCAAAAGTTAGTGATAGTTAAAAATGGTGTTCTTAATTAAGATTTTAATAAAATTTCACGGTGATTGGAATAAGCATTAACAGTTAAAATTACGATGTTACACTGCTCTTGTTGATTGACAGAATAAAAACTATTTTTCCCAGGATATC